GGCTGCCCAGAGAGGTTGTGGAGTCTCCTTCTCTGGAGATCTCCAAAACCCGCTTGGACGCAGTCCTGTGCCACGTGCTCTAGGTGACCCTGCGTGTGCAGGGGCTTGGACTGGATGATCCCTAGAGGTCCCTTCCAACCTTCAGCATTCAGTGATTCTATGATTCTATGATTCTTCTGCAGGCCCCGGCCGCACAGCCGTGGAGAACATTCCCGGTGCGGTTCTCCGGAGGGCTGTGGCTTCCCACCAGTGCGGGCTTTCTGGAAGCGAGCGCTTGTTTAGGATGTGGGCCATGGAGAACCCCGCCAACATCAACCCATGGTGGCTTCATCCCCAGGTGTGCCCCGTACGGGAGCTTTGCAGGGCAGGGGACTCGGCCAACGCTGCCTCCGTCCCTGCTGCCCTGGCAGCTCCGCTTGGAGCCCTGGGATGAGCTGAAGGTTTTTTGCTCTATTGGCACTTTTAAAAGTTATCACAAGACATCCCCTGTGTTTGGGATGCAAAAGTGGAGAGAGGAGCCGCTCGTTTGCAGCAACGTGGGGCCGGCGGGCGGCGAGGAGCGCTGGCCACGTGCCACCGCCGGCCGGGGACATCGCTGCGTTGGTCCCTTTGGCTCCGCCGCGTCTCGGGCAGAAGGGAGTTAAACCCAGGCTCTGCTCAGGGTTGGCGCGTGTGAACCGGAGTTTAAATCTGTGCCCGTCGCTGCTGAAAAGAAAGAACCGGCGGGAGTCTGCGAGGGGAAGCGGCGCTCTTCCCCGCAGAGCGCCTTTCCGAAGCCCTGCCTGGTTGCCAGTAGCTTCCTGCCTGTTGTTGGTTTTTCTTTTCGAACACAATTTAGTTTCTGCAGGCCAGTGGCTTTTAATGATTTCCTTTGAGTCGCTGCATCCTCCGGAGCGGCCCTCTTCTCCCTTGACATTTGATGTGGGAACGTGCACATCAGTATTGTTGCTCAGACAATACCCGCCAGGCCCCGAGGCCAGCGCCGCCGATAAATCACGGATTAAAATGAAGCAGAAGGGCTCGATAAAAAGTCGGCGGTGTCGAGGCACGCCGGGGACAAACTGCACGGAGCCCAGGTAATGGGAAATGGTGGGTGTTAGCCCAAGACCCATGTAATTAATGAACAAGCAACCTGTTTGCGCCGAAAATAAATGGCAGAGCTGCTGGAAAGCCTTCCCGCTTTGAATGTGGAATGAGGGATAGGAGCGGCGGGAGCGGAGAGGCGGCTGCGGAGACGGGGCCGGGAGGCGGCGGCGCAAACCCCCCTCGCTTCCCGCCCGGCCTCGCTGCCGCATCCGTGTGTTTTGCGCTCCGGCGGCTCCGGAGGCCTCTGCCCCGCTGCCCGGCGCGGCCCCCGGCGCTTTCCCCCTCGCGGGGCGCCGCGCGGGGCTGTTTTTACTTAGAGCGCTTTTAGCAAGTTGTCTCCGCGCATCAGGGCCCCGCTTTCATCATGCCTGTTTTCCTCCCCCTCTCTTTGAGGCCCAGAAGTCAGAGGCCACAGGGGGGGGTGACAGAAAGCAGTGACCTCTGCATAAGCGGGGGACCAGATGGCCACTCCTCTTCCTCTGAGCCTCTCTCTGCTGGCCCCGGGGCAGGGAGCTGTGACCTTCCCCCAGCTGAATGCCCAGACTGTGTGACTGGCGCTTTGACATGCTCCTTAATGGGCAGGCATTAACCCCCAGACAGGGCTCGGCTACGTGGAATTCCAGGAAAAGGGCCTGGATCGCCCTCGCGGTCCCCGCGCCGCCCCCCGTTGAAGAGCCCGTGTTTGCGGCACCGCCGGCCGACGCGCTCCGGGCGCGCTTGCGTTTAAGCCGTGCTTTGGGAATGCTGCTTTCCCGCGCTCGAGGTTTCGCTGGCGACATTCCCCAGCTCCGTCCAGGCGGCTGCATCACCACCATCAAGCAGAGTGCCGGTCCGGCCTCCGTTTATCCCAGGAATTTCCCTTCGGGTGCAGCCCTGGGAGGTGGGTGCCCGCTGGCAACGTGACAGTCCCAGCAGTTTTGCCCGCCCCATAGCTCGCGCTCCTGTTTTCAATTAAATTACAAAGTATTTGTGGGTGAAGTGACCCGTTCGTTGGGTAATGGCACCACCTTATCACGCCTGCTTATCAGTATTAGTTCTGCACTATAAAGCCCCGAACCAAAGCCCCGGGGGGAGGCGATGAAACCGCAGCAGGCGGCTGCGCGCGCGGGGGACGCGGCCGCCCATGTGACTTGAGCTGGTGGCGTCGCGCGTCCTCGTGGCCACCGCCACGTCCCCGGCGCGCACGGCTTCCCCCCCCTCCCGGGCGCAGTGTCATGGGGCTTGTGCGTTTAGGCTCCCTCAATGGCCCTCATTCCCGTCCTGGAAGTGACTCCGTTTTGCATCCCCGGCTCCCGTTCGCTCCCGCTTGTTCAGCGGATAAACCCACGCTGCAACAGCCGGGGTTGGCATTGGGCACAGTGGGAGGGATTGAAAGTCTTTTCTGTCTGTTTGGAAACTGGTGTGTGAGTATTTTAATTGCTTTATCCTTTTAAAGAGGAGATGGGAAACTCTTGGAGAGAAAGCCCTGCGGGTGGCTGAGCTGAGCGGCAGGTAGGGAGAGCGGAGTCTTGGCTTATCCCACTTCCAGGAGCAGGAATTTGCAGCAGTAACTGGAATGATAAGGTGGGGAGTGGGTTAAAAATGATGCAATTACCCAAGGGTAGAAAAATAATAAAAATAATAATGATTCAGGGGATGCCCGAGGTGTCGGAGGAGCCGGGTTACAAGGGCAGAAGCAGGAGCCGGAGTGTCTGTAAGGGCCCAGACCGGCCTCTCCGTGCGTTCTGCTCCGGCTCCTGCTCCCGCTGCTAATTGGGATGTTTGCTGTCACGTCTGCAGGCAAGACACAGACTCGTCAAACATGCAAACTGTGGAATTAAGCTGTTTGCGTGAAGCGCCGCTCCGTGCGGGATTCCCGAGACGCGGGAGGAGCCGGTGCCCGGAGCGAGTGGGAATGCCGCTCGCGCCGCTCCGGACGCTGGCTCCCCGGCGAGCCCCCGGCACACGCGCTGCTGCCAAAGGGGAAACACGTGAGACCTGCAGCCCTTGGCTTAGCAGCACCTGCGAGCAGCGCTTCAAATCCATATAATAAATGGGAGCTAATGAAGTAACAAGTTCATGAGTTTGAAGATTTTACTAGTTAAGCAGAGGGCCTAACGCCATGATTCGATTTCTTAATATAAGCGATGCATTTGCTGGCAGCCCTTAAAATCTTCCTACCTTTCCGTGTAGGAAGCGCCGCGTGTGCTTTGTATTCCCAGCTGCTGGAAGCTCAAATCCAGCGTCACCGCGATAAGGCAGGTAACGTGTCGCATCCAGTTATCCGAACGCGCAGGAGCGCGTGCTGGGAGCCAAGGACAGGTAGCGGCCGTCCCGGCTCAGCCGTGAGACCCGGGATGGCCGTTTTCACCCTCGCTGCCTCCTGGGAGCCCTCGGGATTTGGGAGCCGCTCCGTCGGGGTGACCCCGGCCGCTCCGTGCTCCCGCTCCTGCCGTTTGGCTCCTTGGAGGACGTTTCCCATCTTGCGCGGCCGGGCATTGTGCGCCGGGTGTGAATAGGTCCCATTCAACCTGGTTTTATTCATCATCAGCAAAGCATGAAATTACGGTGGAAATGCTAATAGATTTCCTAACAACTTGGTATCTACTTGGGCGAAGCACTTATTTGTTGGCTAATTAGTAAGTTAATTGTTTTATGCTTTATTGAGGTCAGGTTGCTGTTTTAATGCAGGGGGAGGCGGTGCGCGCTCGCCGGAGCAAGACGCCGCCTTAACGAGCAACCAGCAGTTGCAATGAGGGCTCGGGCTGGAACGGAGCAGGAAAAGGGCCATGTTGTCTCCAAACGGAAGTTTCCAACAGCTGTTTGCCATGTGCCAAGGCAGGACCGGAGCCACTCGGGAGCCAGGGCCAGTGCAAAACACATTGGTGTCGCATATGGGCCCTGCAAATGCCTTTGAGCTGGGCACACGGTGCCCCAAAACGGGGAGGAAAGCTCATTTAAACCACTGCTGACATGAAAAAAACGGGGAGGAAAGCTCATTTAAACCACTGCTGACATGAAAAAAGACACTTTGCAGAAAGAAAGGAAAATCCTCTGCTTCCTGGAATTTCGGCTCGGATGTGACTCGGCCTTGGTAGGTGTTGTGGAGCGCTGGGCAGTGTCGCAGGCAAAGCTGCAAGGTTTGCTGCTTGCTGACAGCTGCTTCGTGCTGATTCCTTCCCTCCTGGCTAGAAATGCACTGTGAAAATGACGGTTGGCTGCTGGGTTTATCTGTTGCATTGATAAGCATTTATTTTTGGGGAAAATTACCGCTGCCTTCTACCTCAAGGTCTGCGCAAGCAGGAGTTGAGGTGGTTTTGCCCATTTTTCTCCAGCGGTTTGGCCTTGGGCCCTGGAAATGCAGGGGTAGGGGCAGAGGAGCGTTTTCCTGCTGTGCCGTAATTCGGGCAGGAATAGTTTGTCCTGGCAGCAGCCCTGGGGCACCAGGATGGCCGCAGGCTACGCAAGGGACTTTGCTAATAAAACCAAGTCCCTGTCGTCACTGCTGGGATCTCCTGTGGACGCCACCGCCTTGTGGAGGGAGATGCAGTCAGACCATCCCAGGACCACATTTGCCTGGATTTCAGCTTTTCCGGCTCGGAAAGGGGCAGGATGGCTCTCTGGAAAAGCAGGTTGGTTCCACAGGACTCAAACCAGCAGTGTCCCCCGCCTGCGTCCAGGTGCCAGCGTGTGACGTTGCCACCACGTGGGACTGTCCGTGCCCACGTGTCACCCGACTCCTCCGTCACCGATTGCCTTGTCCCCAGTTGTGCTCAGGGGCTGTCGAGGCAGAGGGTCCTCAAAGTTTTATTAGTGGTACAGAAAGATGTTTCCAGTCTTCCTGTTCCTTGGGAAATAAGAGCGGAAAAGGCAGGGAGCTCTTTATTGGATTGGGAAATGGTCTATAAAGCAGCAGTACTTTTGCAGCCGGACCCATGTGCCTCTCCTTGATGCCAAGCTGGCACCGTCCGACCGGATCCACGGAGGCTCCAGGACCTGCGTGGGCCATCGTGCCTGGGACGTCCCGCGTGGGTCCTCACTCCAACATCTCCCAGGAAAAATTCGGGAGCCTGGAAAAGGCTGAAGCTGCAGGAGCTGCGCTCCGGGCAGGTAGGCCTGTGTCCCGGGGCTGTAAAATGCCCTGGGAAGCAGCAATTCCCAGGAAAGCTGAGCCACGTGAGGTGTTTTATCCCAGGCTATTTGTCCCCTTCTGGGCCTCTGCCAGGCAGCAGGGCAGCCAGCGGGGGAGTTTTATCAGATATTTAAACCTGCTTCTGGAAGCTCTCCTAGAGCAGAATGGTAAATGAGCCGCTTCGCCCTGGGTTTTCCTCTCTTCTTCTTCTCCCGGTGCTATTTTGTGCCCGGTAGCTTGAGCTTTACTTCCATTTCTCTTCCGCGTTTTCCCTCAGCCCTATCCGTAACCATTTTGTGTTTTATTGAGCATGAATGAGTGGTGATGCCTTTCAGATGAGTGATATTTTCACCCGAAGATACTTGTTTAATGCAAGCCTCCACTCAGGCGTTCTCCCAACGGTGTCTCTTGTTTATCAACAGTTTATCTTGACTAGCTTGAATTCGGAGCCGGATTATTGGTGTGGAGAGGTTTTCTCCCGTCCTCCCAGCAACACCTGCTGGGCAGGACTCATGGCTAATTCCCAAACCTCTTTATTTTTGTATTTGGGGCCTTGCTGGGCTGCAGAGAGGCAGCAGGGAGTTTGACTAGGTGAATCCCCATTTCCCCCTGGGGATGCAGATCCCACTCCCGCATCGCAGGGAATTGCAGGCTTGCCTGGCTCCCCCGTCACCGCCAGCCTTTGGAGGCAAATAGGGGTTTCAGCTTGGCCTCGTGCGGCTGCATGTGTGTGCAGCCTTTGCATGGGAGCAAAAGAGCAAAAATGGGTGCCCACAGGGATGTGGAGCCCAGGTGGAAGCGGGACAGGCGTCCAAACACACCGTGGAGCGGGTCTGATGCACTGGAGCCGGGAATGCTCTTGGAAGTGTTAATGGCCTGGCTGGCACCAAGCAGGAAGGGGAACCTCCAGCCAGGAGCTATTTGCAGCCAAGGGGGCTTCTCGCTGCAAAAAAAATAGCGAAAAGGAAAAAAAAAGAGAAGGACGAGGGCTGCGTATCGCGCGTCACGAGTCCCGCTTGCGTGGATTTGGCCCATTCGGCAGTAATCCAGCTTGAATTTCCCTGGATCGCCGCCAGGAATGCGGGAAGCCGTTGCCGAGGAGCGGACGGGGGTTTCCTGCGATGGGCACCGCTCGCTGCTACAAATGGCACCTTGCCCGAGTCTCCTCTAAATCACCAGTTCCCATGCGGAAAAGGAGCTTTCCGAGGTAATTAATGAGCCGGTATAAAGACGTTGGATTGGGAATGCGTACGGAGAGGAGGGCTTGTCGCTCCCCGGGCCATCTTCCCCGGCACGATCAGGCGCGAGGGAGCAAAGGGCAAACTCCTTATGGAGCATCGGGCACCATCTCCGGGAGCTGGGAACGAGGAACTCGCCGGGAATAACAAAGGAGCAGGGAAATACATTAGGAAACTAATTACACCAGAGCTGGTAAAAACAGATGCTGGGAATCTCAAGCTATTATAGAAACGATCTCTAGCAGAGCAAACGGGGCCTGACAACAACAACAACAACAGTTAAAAATTGCATTTCACTTAAATGTCATTAGCCCGTAGATGAGGGCAGATCCCTCGTCACCGGCAGCTCCGCGCGAGCCGGCGCTTCCCCCCTCTTCCTTTGGCCACTTCCCGATGAGCCGCCTTGCTCCCGGCTGCCTTCCCGCACTCCTGCTCTTGCAGCCTGGTTTCTTCCAGGATCCGCAGCCCAGGGGCTTTTCCCTCAGTGCTGCCGATCCTGAACATCCCCCTCCCTTGCCCGGGCGGTTTTCCTTCCCTTTCTCCGGGAATGCAGGGCTGGAATCGCGCTCGGAGCGGTCGAGCCGCAGCCCACAATAGCGGCATTAGGCACGGGCTGCCCGCAGCTGCTGCGCCCGGCCCTGCCTTTGTCAAAGGCATCTCTTTTTTACCTCAAAAAGAAAGAAAAAGAAGATGCAGTGTCTTAAAGCCCCGGGAAAAATATGTTCCTGCTCGGAAACGGGTCAGGGAGCGGGGATTTGTGGTGTCCGTACGCCCCCCTCCTCGTGTGCCCGGCTCCTTCCTTGCAGGCAGGTCCTCCCTGGGCAGAGCGTGGAGGGGAGAACTGGAGCGACATTTCGGGGTGCAAAAGGCAGCTCGGTGGTGCTGTGTCCCCTAAAATCAGGCTAGCGCATGCGCAAAGTGCTGCTGTCCTCAACACCATCCTCGCGGCTGCATCCGTGCCCCTTGCAGCGCCCCAGCTGCAGGACGGGGACATCCAGCCACAATCCAGCTGAAATCCAGTTCACGGGATGTCCAGGAGGGCCGTCGAGCTTCGGAAACCGTCTGCACTGAGCGAGTGAGTGGTGGAAACGTTGGGAAAAGGCCTCGCTCGCGGGAGGTTGGCGGCCCGGCCGCGGCGCTGGGGAGGATGCTCAGCGCATCCCGCTGCATCCCGGCCAATCCGGGCATTTCTTTCCCCTTCTCTAATTTAAAAGCGAAGTGTCGTGAGGCTGTCAAACCAGCCGGGCCTCCCCAGTGCTCCGCTGACACCGTGCTCGGCCTTCCAAGTCATCTTCATCCCATTGCGCCTGCAGTTGATAATAATGTTTGCGTTTTAATGATTCTACCAGGGCTGGGATTTGCTTTGACATACCAAGTTAATGTTTTCTTTCTCTATATCAAATCTAGGTCAATCTCTGGCTTAGCACTAATGCTAAACTGAGCAAAAAAAGGATTGGCCGCTAATGGTTTCAATTTAGTTTTTCATGGAGTAAAGAAAATTTCATTCAATACTGATTTTCATTTTGATTCCGTTGGCCTTTCCGCGGGGTGCGCGAGGCTGGGAAGTGTGTTTGCTCTTCGATTAGAGGAGACCCAGCCAACTCGTTTGCCAGCAGAAATCCTCTGGGAATATGGATGAGGCTGAGAGCAGCGGCTCGCCTGCATGATGCCTGGGATGAGGATGAGGATGGTGAAGGTGAGACCAGGGAAGACCCTGTGCCTACGGCGCTCTGTAGGGAAGAGTGATCCAACCTGTGATCCAACCTTTTCCCAATGGAGATCATCCACGATACACCGTGTAGGAGGAAGAGAGGAAGAGCATCACCTGTGCCAGGTCATATAGCAGGGGGCAGAAACACAGGGAGGATGACAGCAGTGGTGCCAAGATGCCATGGGGCATCTCGGCTATTCCCTGCTCTGCTCCAAGGGAAAATCACCCGGAGAAGCAGTGTGAACACCGACGTTTCCAACGGACCCGGCATCACCCAGGAGCTCCGGGGGTTGTTTTACAGCTTGACACCTATCTACACTCACACTGTGCATGGATAATAGCTCTCCACATGGAAAAGGAAAGTTTAACAGGAAGGAGAGGGCACAATCCCTGTCTGACAACAGGTACCAGGATGGATCCGGCTCCTCCGCTCGGGAGCGGCGATGCCGCAGGGTGACGGATGCTGTGGGCAGATGCCTTGGACAGCTCCAGCTTGGGAGCTCCAGGAATGCGGGCGAATATTGCGATTGCACGTATTTATTTTAAAAATGATTATAGCCATTAGCATAGAAATTAGATGCGGCTCCCTGGCTGCCGGCCAGCTCCACCCTGGATGTTGCGCGGCTCTTGGCGGCGCCTGGAACAATAGAGCCCGTTGGATGATGGATACCCGGGTGTTTTCTGCTAAGAACAGGAGCTGCTACTCTGCTGGAGGAGGTTGCTACCCTGCAAAAATGATGCAAAAATGATGCAAAAATCATGCTTGGGCCAGCAGAGATTTATCCCCTCCGAGCAGTCGCTTCCCATCCCTCTCCCCTCTGCTCACCCAGGGATTTATTTCCCGGCTGGAAACAGCATCCAGGTAATCACCTGCTTTCAACTTTGTGGCTGTTTTACAGGAGGGGCTACGAAAGCCTTTGTGCCTGCAACTGTAAATAAACTCGTAAACCTGGGGTAAAAACAGCGTTTTGTAGCTCGGCACATGAATTTTTAATGCCTCTTCTGCAAAGCAGCTGGTCTTGGCAAGGGTCACGGTGCTTCCTAGGCATTTAACATAAAACTGTGCTTCAGAGCCACATTATAGGGTCATTGAAGAGTAATATTTTACTTAACATCCTCATAACTGAATTATTTATAACTTTCCATGTTTTATTCATGATAAATATTAATACTAGTGTCTTTAAGAGTGGAGGTTATTGCTGCAGTTTTACCTCTAAGAGATGATATTATTGAAATAAAGGAATGGCCATGAATTCAGCAGCCAGCACAAGGATACCTGCACCAGGGCCCTCCTCGTTCACACCTTGCTCTGCTCCTCAGCCTCTGAAACCTCAGCACTGGGATCAGTGCATCCCAAAGGAATTTCCCTGCAGGCATCTGAATCCCTGATTTTTTTTTTTTTTGCTTTATTAATGAGCTTTGTTTCATACTTAGGAATTGGGCAAGGAGCTGTTCCACCATCGGGCTCTCTCCATGCCTGGAGAGGACACTGCTGTGATCTTTCCTCCTGGAAATAGCTGTTGGCATCCCCGTGTGCTGCCGTGTCACATGTCCGGCTCGGCAGGAGCCCATCCCGGCTCCCACCGACGTCCCCCTTCGGAGCTGCCTCCGGGGCCGCCGCGTTGCCCCATGGCCTTAACAGCCCCGGAGCGGGCCGGCGCGGGTTAATGCAGCACATATTTAATGTATGATTGCTAATGGCCATCTCCCATCTGCCCGAGCCCGACTGGAGCTGGCAGGTGAATGATGAAGCTGCCCTCACGCAGCTTATTCCAACGCCGAGGTTCAGTCGTTTCGCTCGGACACGGAAGATGGGATGAGGTTTTCCCGCTGGGAAGGGGCAATATCGGGCTGGGCTGGCAGAGCAGGGGGCTCCCTCGGAGTTTATTTGATATGATAATGGGAGAGATCTCCCCGCATGTGCGGCTCTGCAAATGAATCACGAGCTAAATAACCACGGCGATGTTTATTAGCCGCGAATATGTTTATTGCGGAGTCAACAGGCAGCACCTTCCGATTAATTAATAGTAATAATTGCTGTGTTTATGCGGCTCTAACGGTGTGCTGGAGTTTATCCACACAGTGTGGCAGCTGCGGCTGTGGAAACGGGCCGGGCTGTGTCGGTGCCAGCGCGGAGCCCGGGCGTCCTGCTGCCCCGTGGGCCTTGCTGTGGACACGGGCCGTGAGCGCTGCCGCTGTCCCAGCGGGTCCAGCAGCCCGGTGTGCATGGGCATAGAAACAGCGTCTCGCCAGGGCTCTAGTTCCTCCTTGGGTGGCAAACCAGGCTTCTCTTCTGCCAGGGCGGGTTACCTGTGGTCTCGTTTGCCAGCTCTGGGGTGCTCCGGCTCCGAGGATGCTCTTAGCAGTGGGTCTCATCTCACATATTAGTATTTTGTCTCTTCTTTGTGTCTTCCAGCCATGTCCGACTTCCACATCCACCCTCAAAATGCAGTCGTGGAGGAAGGGGGAGTCGCGAGGTTCCAGTGCCAGATCCACGGCTTGCCCGAGCCTGTCATCCTCTGGCAAAAAAATCGCGTGCCGGTCAACACAGACAACGAAAGGTAGGAGACGGCCGAACCACACGGAGCTGCCTCCTGCCACGTGGAAGCGGGTTTGCCCTTGTCCCCACACCTATCCCAGGACGCAGCAGCCCCGCGCTGAGGCTCTTCCTCAGCTTTTCCGCCGTGGAAGGCTCTTTTAGTTAATCCTGGGGGTTTTCAGGGCTTCCCGTGCAATCCCCCACGTCCTGCACCGCACGTCCTCGCTTCCTCCGTTTGCCAGGCTGCTCCGGTCGCGTTGGAACGGCCCTGTCGAGGGCTGCAGCAGGGACAGGTGGCCGGACGC